AACGAAAATGAAATGAAATGAAGTGAAATGAAATGAAATGAAATGAAATGAAATGGAATGAAGTGAAGTGAAATGAAATGAAATGAAATGAAATGGAATGAAGTGAAATGAAATGAAATGAAATGAAATGAAATGAAATGGAATGAAGTGAAATGAAATGGAATGAAACGAAGCGAAATGAAATTAAATGAAGTGAAATGAAATGAAATGGAATGAAACCGTTTCTTGTTGGATTAAAAAAAAAGAAAAATTGAGGAATGATTGTCATTTTACATCGCAAAGCTTTCTTTTATGACTAAAAACCGAAAAAAGAATACATTCAAAAATTCGGCTCTTTTTTAGTTATATTTTTAATGATTTTTCTAAAATTAATTAATAATAAAAGGGAAGAAAAATATTATTAAACATCTTTTTTTCTTTCACTTCTGTTTATAACATAGTAAAATTAGTTCCATAAAAATCCAATATTTTAATATATATATATATATATATGTGTCAAAATAATTCATTGATAATTATTGAATTTTAATTTTAATGAATGAATTTCTTAAAATAATGAAATTACTAATTACTGATTTTTCCATTGAATCAAATGAATTTCCATGAAAGAAATTAAATATTTTATTTAAATTCAAAATATATAATGATTATATATGTGAAATAGTGAACCAGTGAACATTCACAATTAATTTCTCTTCATGAAATTAATTCTTTATGAAACTTTATGAAATCTTTATGGAATTAATTTCATAAAGAGAACGATAATTAAACCACTAAAATCGGATTCAAAAAAAAAAAAAAGAAAGTAAATAATTTATTGATAAACTTAAAAATGTTCCTTAAATTAATCTAATTACACTGATAATAAATGATATAAATGATACAATTTCTTATCCATCGTAGTTATAAACGCTCAAACAAACTTTTCGTTTTTTTTTTCTTATATTTGAGAAGTAGTGGGGGAAAAAAAATAAAAGTAAGAGAGTAAAAAATTGGGTAAAAAAAGTGTGGGTAATTTTTACCCAAATAACAAATATAAAAAAAAGTAATTCAAGTCTCCAATTGTTTCTTTTTTTTTCTTACATTGCAATAAAATTTATCGTCTAAATGAGTGGAACTAATAAGGATGACATTGTCAACAACAACGATGACATTATTGTCATTATTGTCAATCCTTG